GGTGACTATGGGGTTCGCCCCGTCTGCTTCTCAGCATACTTAGGTGAGTAATAAAAACATTAAAGAAACTGGGATGATTTTTACAAACTGAAAGATCTGATCAACAAGAAAAACGGGGCGGGACTGAGGGAACCAAACCCCTGTCATTTACCTTTCTTTACCTCACGAAGCTGCTTCTCGATGTTCTTCAAGTACTCTGCAAAATGTCCCGATGTGTTGGGTGCAATGTCCTGAAGTGAAAACAACACAATATAAACGGATAATGTAATGCTATTCGTTCAAAGTGCACGGTTTTTCCTTATAATATGTCTTACGTTACATGATTAAGCGGATGTAACACGTAAAGTGTTCTAATGGAAATTTGAATCTACGAAGTTTCTGAACGCTGACTGAAATTGACCTATGAAGTTGAGTAACGTTGGTAAATGCTTAAAGGCGTAAACCTTGAAGTTTGCTTGAATTGCTAGTGATATGAATAGAGACCAACGGACAATCGCGGTCGCCCACTGCAGCATGTGCTTGGCTGGCATAAAGTATACTCCTCGGGGCGTGTTACGCATGCCAACAAATAGATCACTAAGGTGTTGGTTGAAGCAAGTATTGAGTGGAAAATAGTAAACGGTGGTCAAACTAAGACTTGTCATAAGGTTATGAAAACAATAATCAAGAGAGTTGCGCATATCGGTCGCGTTATATATTCTAAATGGGGACCTCGGGATCAGTGTAGCGGACGTTTAAAAACACTGAGCATGTGAGCAATATCGCTCGTAAATCTACTCATTGTTCATGCAACCATAGCCTACACACGTCTTTGATTTTCATCTTGAAATTGCTTTCAGCAATCCCGTCTTCCGTCTATCTCTGCATCCAAATAGGTTACCAAAAGACATTAACCGAAACCGTCACAAGAAAGTGCTGGGTTAGCCATTGCTCAAACTGAAACCGATTGAATGCTCAAATCACACAGGTTATGACACCGCTGTAAGATCAAACACCAGAACAAACGAAAAAGGTGAATGTTGATATTAAATCATGGGTCAATTTAACTGAGAAATGATGTGTGTACATGGAGTATCATAATTCCAAATATCTGTGAAGAAACTCAACATTCTCTTACGAACGACGCTTTTAAAACGAACGATGATGAGAGTGAATGTGATAATTTTCTGTCGTGTCTCTGTTCCAATTGGTTATCAGGACAAAGTATGCTTCAGCAGTGAGCTATGCATCTGCATTGGATAATTCGAGAGACGGCACACAGTTCACCCGAACGATTAATTGGTCCTTTTGTTTATCGGTGCTTTAGTCATTCAGGGCACAGACTGACACCAAGCGTAGCTTTCACAAAGGAACGACGTGACCGAAATAATAACATAAAACTATACTATAGTTTCTGTTGTTATCAACCGCATTATCATACAGCGAAATGTACTGAGGCGACCTTTGCTATTGTATAATTACATATTTGGACGTGATATAGATTAATCTCGTTATTACAAAAGTGCACGGATAAGTGCTGGATGAATAAAACTGAAATACTATTGCCAATAAAACGTAGCTATGTGAAAAATACATCTGATTTTGATTAGTCTACATTCAAATGCCTGACCTGTATTCCGGTGTAATCAAAATGTCATTCTAACACCACATGCTAATGTTGCATTCGAGTGACCCAGTAAATCATCTGAAATGTTTCTGTTGTGATAAAATGCGTATGCTGCCATGTTCGTCTACAGTGTGATCAGGAATTTGCAAGCATGAGAACAAAATCAGCGAGAAAGGTTTGATCTAAAACAAAATAAAACTTCGTGGTAGAGAATTCGTAGCCAAGTCACTTAACACCTAATTTATAGAAACGGGGGTCAGGCAGACTAAGTTTTAAATTTAGTTTATAGAACCAATACCATTGCACTTTAATGAGGCAGTTCTTCTTTTCAGTTTCAATTTGAACATCCATAACACTTTCAATTCTATGTGGTGTTTTCTGCAGCTCTTTGTACTGCCATTTCGATAGGGCAGAGAAGAAGAATACTGTACGCAGTAACAAGATGAGGACAGAGAATTCAAGTGGGCTGGGGCTGGGAAGGAAGTGAAAGGTAGACTAGTGTCAATTTACAAGGCACTAAGCCGTAACACTCAAAGCACCGATTACACTGTTCTTGTGACCCTGGACAATGAAATAGCCTGTATGATAAAGCAACCCTGTTTTCAAACCCAAATATCATGTCTCAGTTTGACCACCTTAGACCTTTCACACACTAAATACTTTGACAAGCGCTGCATGTCCAGAAAGCCCAACATGTGACAGGTGTAAAACGGTCAACAGCCGACGTATCTATGACGGCTGCACACTTGATCCAGCGCGCAACCGCAAGTTATACTACGCGAGCTACAAAAACAAAAAATTGACACCATTGTTTACAAAACTGTCATATATATATATATATATATATATATATATATATATATATATATATATA